ATATATCATCTTAAAGTAGAAAGCTTCATCCCAGCTACGAAGTAGCTTAAAAAAAAAAATCTCCTGAGTTAAAGTATAAAAATCGTTGGCCTCAGTTAACATCCCACAACTCAATACACAAAAGACATACAGTGCCTTATCAACAAATATATTCAAAGTAAAAGAAAATTAATTATGAAAATAGGTCGTTTATTTTAAGATCACTTTTGTGAAAACAGGAATTCTTTTCTACAGTTCACTTATCTAAAAGTGCTGTGATTAATGTTACAGGACCATGATAAAAATAAGCAAATACAGCCATTCATATCCAGAGAACGGAATATTGATCTTGTGTTATAACCAAGACATTCTCTTCTAGAGACTCACCTTAAAAATTATTATCAATTATTTAAATCAGTTATTACTATGTCCACATTTACTGTGACCAAAGCTACAAAAGAGCATTTTAATAGTACTATTACTTTTTACCACAGTGTATGACTTAAAAAGATAGTTTATTTACCCTTAAGTCCCTCTATCTAACTGTTGATAGTAGAAGGAAAAAGTAAACAAAAACTTAAATGTCTAATAAGAAACATTTCACAAATATGTCTAGTACAGGAAGTTCTAACAATAAAACAAATTGAAGATGTCAGGTTTTTAAATTTCATTTATCTATCCAAGGATCAACCTTTTTATCATTTGTTATTATCACCAAATATCGATATGCTTGGTGATGTTATTTATTCAGGATTAGACTTTCAAATTCAAATAATCGAAAACAAAAAGAGAGGAGGGAGAACTCAAAAACATGAAGTCCTTAGAAGTTCATCAAGAGTGTAACATATGAACAATCAGCAATAATTATATCATTGACTCTTGTGCCCTCCTTTAGCATGTGAAAAATAAACAAGCTGGTTTTAGATCTTGATCTTATATACTATAGATTTTAAGGTATTACAGCAAATGTGGGATCATAGAAAACTAGCAATCTTTGATTGCACAGCTGAGGTTTCCTCCTAATTTACTTCCTCTAAACATTTAAGAAAATATTCCTTAATTCTTTAATGTTCTCTTTCAGTTGACTACTTCCCCTTATTTATTTTTTATTTTTTTGAACAAATCACTTACAAAGAGAGCTTTAGAGAGATCTTCCTTGGTACTGAGTGGGGAAACAAATGAGCTCCAGAGCTTTGTTACCTGGAGCACAGCATCAAAATAACTGATCCAGAACATCCTATTAGTATCAGAAACCATTAGGAAAGTGTCAAGTTCTTTCTTCTTTCTTGACAAATATCTAGTGGACTCTCTCAGAAATTTAAAACGTATTTCTTTTCTCAATTTGCTTTCAATCCCACAAATTCTTTCCATTCACAATAGTTCTTACGAGAGATATATGTGTTTCCAGAATTTAGCTGGCAGCACGATTGGTTACACAAAGCAATATGTAAACAGATTGTGGTATATTTAAAAATTGCCTTTGCTTCTCAACTTGTAGTCTCTAAAATAGGTGTGAGGGACATATTTACTCAGACTTCTACCCATTCTATTGTCGTCATTTCTATATTTCTACACGCTTTCAGTCAAAGTGGAATTTTAAAAGGCATGGATATTTTAGCATGTCTTTGAAGTTAATTTATAAAAATTATTAAATAGTTATTCAGAAGACTGTCACAAAAATAAACCTGTCCTCATTTTTCCCCTCTTCTAATTTCAGTCATTAAAACTAAGAGTTGAGAAAGAAATATCATAGAGATTTATTTAAAGTGAATAACATTCTTCCCAGTATATATATTCTTTTACTTCATTGGGTATTTTCCATAAATTCAACTTTATTATTTTGAAGATTGCTTCATGAATTATAATATTAATTTAGACAGCTTTTAAATGTTTCTATAGAAAATTTATCAGCATAGTCATTATTTAAAGCCCCAAATTCCCAGGATAATTCTCATTTAAAAATGTAAATAACTGGATGTTTATATTAATTTGACTTTTTAAATTGATGTTTACTTATTAAAAATTAAAATTCCATCATATTATTATAAACAACTTATTATTTGCAGAAACAGCTTGTAGTTAATTCTCTTATGTCAATTTCATTAAAATAATACTTTTTCACTCAGTCAAATTAATAAAAAGGAAAATCCATTAGACCACTAATCATTCTATCTATTCTCTTACTGTCAAACGTAATCATAAATAAGGTTAAACAGTAACCAATGCTACTGATCAAAATATATTCCAAAAAAGTTTTCTTGTATATTATGCAGATACAACACTGATGAAAAGAACATTTAAAAAACAACAACCCACAAGCATTTATATTTATTTTTCTTACCCCTTAAGTATTTATCTTTAAAAAGTTTCATGCCAAACTTGACTACATAAGTTTTCTTGTCTGTCTTTTCTGTTGCCAAGTCCTCTTTAAGCATTTAATGAAGTGAATGCTTCATTTGACTAAATTAATTCTGTGTTAGTATCTTTAGTGTGAATATATTATCACAATAAACTATAAAATAGACTAGCAACAAATAGTTTCATGAACAATGAGTGCTTTCCCAATCGAAAGGCCAAATATGTTATTAGCATAATAGCATCAATAATAGAGTTCTATCAGTCTAAGATCTTTCAATCAAAGCCTTCATTCCTACAAATGATTATTTCAGCATAATAAAAATAATTTGCATTTGTATGACTTTATACCTATGAAACATTTTAATTCACTCAAGTATACAGAGAGAATGGAGACAAGTGCTTTAATATTTGGCATACTGTAGAGAATAAAAAATGTATAACCTCGGTCGGTATATTAGAATACCATCACAAAAATCTTTGATTTGTATGTAGTCTAAGAGCTTCCCTTCCACCAAGACATTTGCAATGAATATACCTGAAATGTCATCACAAGTTGTAGCAACATTCAAGGTGGCAGCCTTTCAGTCAAAAATAAAAATTCAAATACAAAATCCTACCTTTTGGAATGCTTCATTTACACTGAAATAATAAAATATTATAAACCTTTTTTTGTGACTATTTATGCTCCTTTCACATTACATGTCAGTTACAGCAATAACTTCACACACTGTGCTGTTGCAGAAGGGGGTACAGGGGTGACACCTACCAAACTCTCAAAGAAAAGCAGTGCAGCAAAGACGCCAAACTGATATCCATCCATGTTCAGGGGCCTTTTACATGTTCAGGGGCCTAGTTTTAATGCTGTTTAAACTGAACCAAATAACAAACATTATAGAAAGGAGGCTGCTGGTGAACATACCTTCTTGAACCGCTTGAAATGGGTTGTTGCCATCAACAAATGTCACGGAGAAGGTGATCTTCTCCGTCTGTAAGATCTCCTCATTCTGGTTGAGGTCGCCGACGGCTGTGCGAAACACCTCCTCATCTTTCTTGGCAGACTCATCAAAAATCGCTCCTAGAAAGAAGGGAGCACTGCCATTAAACAATTATATAAATACTCCGCATGTCCACTGGCAGCACGCCAGGGCAACTCATGTACTTGAAAATGTACATTTTCACTTAAAGCAGGCACTTCGTTTAGTACTGAAACGCTGTGCTGAAAGCAGCGTGAGCGCGAAGCAGGGAGGTCTCACTTCTTGCAAATGGAAATGATGAGCAGTGCACGGAAGGGAAGGTGCAGGGCAGCGCTGGGAGGGCAGCCTCGGGAGTACAGAACGCTCTGAGAACGACACAGTGGCTAATACGCTGAATGTCTTATATGATGAGATCTTCAGGAATTCAGAGCTTGGGAATTTTTCTCTGAATAGTGGGAGATAAAACCAGGAAACTTTCCGAGAGCCCGTTCATATACATAGAAATTAAACTTCTATTATAATCTTAATTTATTTTTCATTTTTTGTTTTATTTCCCACCTTCCGTCCTTACTTTTAACAGGGGTTTCAATTTTTTTAATAGTAGTAAATACAATCATATTTGTAGAAAATTTAAAGACAGACAAATCTCTCAGCAGAAGTAACAGAGGAATATTTCCTGAACAACTAACGTTAAATCCTAGAGGATAATCATGGCATTCTTCATTCATATGTAATAATGATGATGATAAGAGTGTGGCTAACTTTTCCTGAGTGTTTGTCAGCATTGTATTGGTGAAACACATGAGTTCTAGGGGTAAACTGATTTCAAATTCTGACTCTGCCACTAGTTAAGTATAAGACCTTGAACAAGAGGTTCAAATTCCAAGCCCCACATTCATCACCTGTCTAATAATATCCATCTGTATAGATTATTAACTGTATTAAAGGAGATTATCCATGCAAAATGTAAGTAAATTGTAGTAACTAAAAAGTTCTCAGTAAGTGTTAGTATTTTCTTATTTTTAAATACTGTGATTCAGTGTTTATCATTTTCTACTAATTTTTGCCATATTAAAGTATTTCATTTAGTTCTTAAAATAATTATGTGATATGTATATGTATACCACTATATATGCATACAGTTATAAAAATTAAGATTCAGTACAAGAATTATACTGAAATTCCCACCATAAGGGCCACAACCCTTACCTCTTTGATTCCAATGTCCTTGCTCTAAATCACTATGGGGTACCGCCTTCTGGAATTTTACCCATAAGGAATAAAACATGTTTATGAGGATCCTCACTTACAAATGTGGGAAATTCTTTCCCATCCGGCCACGCATGCTTTATTTGTATTTATTCTGCCTCTTCTAAGCAGGTACACATTTTCAAATTGTTTACTTTTCAATTATAAGCATTCGGGCCAATGTACCTTTTGTCTTTTTGAATAAACCCAATGAATTCCCTCCTGACAAAAAAAACAAACACATACCTCAGGGTCAATAATGTGACAAAGGAATGACTATACATACAAATCTACATACGTATCCATACACACGTGTATCTTGACTATCCATTGTAGTGTGTACATATAAAAATAAAATTGTGTGTACATAAAAATGTCTTCTTTCATATATAAGTGAGCACATACAGGATGAGATAAACATAGACTATATGCACACACTGATAAAGCAGACACACATCTACCAGTTGCGTTGATTTTATACATCTGGGACTGAAGCCCCAAGCCTTCTTGTGACAGACAGATCACAATATTAAACATACTATCACTAGTGTCAAGACCTGACAAAGCAAGGGTGAAAATATGTCCATTTCTGACAAGTGTGGTGGGTTACTTTTGGTCTCTCTACCCTAACTGGTCTCACCTTGAGAAGGCAATGATTAATTTTTGCTATAGGAGGCCATGTCCATGGGAACCTGGCTCTCTCTTATCATGGCCCTTCTATGTTTGCATGGGTGGTATTGACTACTTTGACCAGCCTCTCTAACCCTCTACTTCCCATTTCTTATCTAGCTTGAATACCTGCCCTTGGCTAAGAGCATAAGAAGAAGATGAAGAATTTTTAAAAACAAATAAATTTAGTACTCCCTAATTATACTATGTAGCTTTTAGCCAGAATATTAACATGTTGATATAATCAAACATACATAATAAACATTATTTTTTTACCTATCCTGTCATTTATGAATCATACAGAAGTCAACTTTAGAAACTAAGATTTTGTGAAAATATTTAGGCAATAAATATTAGACTTATCTTACAAATTTTAAGCCACATTCATGAAGACTCATTTTAAATTTTTATAATTCTTATCAGAATCTAGATTAATCATTACATTGAAATGTAATACTATCAGATTCAGCCAGACCAATTTTTTAGTAGTTTGTAGAAAGTGTGATTTAAACGCAAAATAACGAGTTCATTTTAAACCAAATAATCTAAATGTCTATTCACAAAGAAGTTATCCATATTTATACAGAGACGCTTCAGCTGTCATGGCTTCTAAATGGGTCTTTTCAAAGACGTTCTAATCAACTTTGTTTTGTGGAGGGTGATGTGATTGACTTCTATTGAGTATTGGTAATACATTTTTAATGGAAGCATTTTATTATTAACTGACAGAACACTTAAAATTGCCTTAAACTTTAAACCTGGCTTAATAAATGGTTGAAACTTGCAGAAATGATAGCAAATTAGTCAATTCTGTGCTGAATTAAGATATAGTGAAAGGAAATGCACAAAAGCAGCAGTCCATCTTTCTGCAAACCGCAAGAAAGTACACAGAAGCAGTCCCTCTTACTTTACACAGCACAACCAAAGGAAAGGAAATCCTAGCCAACACTTCAGATTCCGTTATTTATTTACTTCTTTCTTCAGCTATAAAGATCTCATCTTAAATTTGGTTTTGTACCAAAAGAGTAAACACAGCATTTTGTATTAAACACAAGTACTCTGAAAACAAACCAGTAAGTTACATCTATATTCTATTTACATTTCACATTGGCCACTCGGGGGAATAATAACTTAGCAACTGGAAGAAAGGGAATGCCTCCTAAACATTCCTGTTATCCTCTCCTGTAACCAGCCACTTCATTGCCAAGGGCTGACGGTCTGCTCCTTCAGTGGGAAGGACAAGAAAAGCTTTACTTACTCTTATACAAAGAGAGTTACATGTACAAGTGGGGATGCACACAGGTTTTAAATACAAACTATATCGTGTGTACTTATCTTCTTATATAGTATGCTTTGGAAAGGAAATAATTATAATTTACAGTAATATCAAAACATGGTAATATCTTAATTTTTTATTGTTGGGAAGGATAATGTGTATAAGTCAATGTTTTATATGATAAAATGACACAAATTTAAATTTGAAAATATGCTTGCAGAATAAAAGTTTTAGAGAAGTTACTAACCCAACAAACTCAGTAACTTTCAAAAACATTCTAAGCTTTTCTAACCTCCATGTCTTCATGATGTTGCCTCCACCATGGATCTATTTCCTTGTCTTCTTAGCAAGATATAATTTCCTGGGCCACAGAAACTATTTTTATGCTTAAGTGCCTATAGGGGACCCTGAATATATTAGCTACTCAAGAAACAGTAACTGATGAAACTTTCCTTATAGGTAGTTAGGCATAATTTTATAAAATAGAACACTTAAATTCAAATACATGATTAAAAATGTAAGTGGGGACTACATTTAAATTAAAACAAAAGTAGACTTGCAAATGTACTTGCCTGTGAATTGATAATCACGGGCACTTCTGAAGTCATGCTAATGCCCGTGATTATAAATTATTCAGCAAGGCATTTATCATACACTCGTAATCTTAGTTTGAATATTTAAATTTTATTTGTCTTCTACATACAAGAAGCAAGAGGAGGAAACACTGTTTAAATGGGAAGACATGGGAAGAAAGAACAAGTCTTCTAGCTCAGAATTTCCTCTAAAAATACTAAGAAAGGTTTTGATATATGTCTTGAAGAAAATTTTCTACATACAACATGTCTACATTACCCTTGCACAATCAATTTATGGTTAAAATATTATCATTTAAAATGACATAAGTGAAACAGCTGCCCTTCCCCCACCCAAGAAAAGAGTGGTCGAAATTCAGAGTTGCAAATAAAACTTAAGATAGCTAATCGTTTTTAGTCACAGAGTTTAAACTTTTCCCATTTAATTTGCCATATATACATAGTCTTTTAAAAATAAACTTTTCAAAGGTGCTCTCTGCAGTGAATCTTTAATTTTCTTTGCAGCAGCTCGATTCTCCTGGCTTCTCTCTCTTTGCCTTTTATCCTCTGCTCTTTCTTTCCATAAATTCATGCATCCATCATCCATCCATCATCCATCCACCCATCATCCATCCACCCACCAGCCACCCGTCATCCATCCACCCATCATCCACCCATCATCCACCCATCATCCATCCACCCATCATCCACCCATCATCCATCTACCCATCATCCATCCACCCATGATCCACCCATCATCCATCCACCCATCATCTACCCATCATCCATCCATCATCTATCCATCCATCATCCATCCACCCATCCATCCATCCATCCATCCATCCATCCATCCATCCATCCATCCATCCATCCAATCGACCTTCCGTCAACACACAGATAGTCATCAAAGCCAAGCCTCTCTGTTTTTAACAAATTATTTGCTAACAGGACAATAAAAATCCATTACACATGAATGCAGTCCATAGCAGAAGTAGGAGGCCTCATTCAGATGATAATGAAAGCAGGCAGTTTTGGAATTCACAAACTCATAACTGAAAGAAATTTAAAATAATGTACATATAATCTCGCATTTCAGAAATTGTAGTGAATAGATTTTAAGTGATGTCACCAAAATTACACAGCCAAAAGTTAGAAGGGGTGGAGTAAAATTTAGGTTTTCTGGTTTCAAGTTTGGTGCTATTTTTTCTACAGTAGGCTTTTTTTTCATTTCAAGCACTAACTTTATAAAGAAAAAATATATAACATTACATCATATCAATGTATGTGTGTGTATATATATATATGTATAAGATATATAGTACATCATGTCATCCAT